TTGTAATGCAACCATTAGCTGAATGTACTATCAATAAAATCCTGGGTCGCAAGTACTCACCTTAATATTTAAAAAAATAAAAAACAATTTTGTTAAAATAATTTATATAGTTTTCTAACTAAAAAATATTCAAAACCTAAAAAAATATATAATTATATATTTTTTAGACAAATTTATTCATTATTAAAGCTTGAACATTTTTTGAATAGTAAAAATTTACAACATTGCCGTAACAAAACAAATACATTATTTCTGTACTTTAAAAATTCTGAATTATTACGAAATATCAAGTAAATTTACGTCGATTATAAATAATATAAACTTCAGATCTTAGACTTGTTTATTAACAGGTCATAGAATGTAAATCAATTGCCCAAGTAACTTATTTATATACCGATACTTTAAAATACTTTTTGGGAACACAACGTTTCACCAATAAAAAATCATCACAAAAACCATTTCTCGCTTCGATAGAACGTCTACATTTACTATGCAAAAATAATCAGTATTTCCATGAACTTTATTTAAAAGACAATATATGCTTACCGTTTATTGGATCAGACCAAATTATGCTGTATAGTGAAGGTAACTGAAAATTTTTCGTCTAAAATATTATTACGTTTTTTAGATGCAGTCTCTTTAGTAGTAAAAGATCCGGACTTAAGATTAAATTTGGGTTTGTCAACCTTAAATTAATAGTTAAGGTTCTGGGTTATATTTATCGATTCTTTAATATAATGAGTTGGGTTTATTAACAATAAATCTCTCATTCACACTATTCTCTAAATATAAATATAAATAGTACTGTAATATTAATTAAAATTATGTATTTTGATTGGTTAATTATACGAGAAATCACGGGTAGATCTACAAAAATTAACCAATCATGCCTAATTTTGCCGGCATTAAAATAATTCCAACATCATTTTGCCCGGAACTAAGTGGCTTAGAAAACATGCATTAGGCTTTTTGTCAAAAGCCTTTTTTGTTGTACATGTTCATTAACCGGTTCAGCCCGGTTTTATAGAGGCCAGCTGAAACCTGATAGATAAATATACACCATATTCAAGAATAATTATATAGCGATAGATATCATTTTCGTACTAGAGTTTGTCTTAGAAATTTCGAGACGAACATAATGAGCAACAATGATAATGTATTTCATTATTTAGACAGTGGGCTGGAGGATATTTCTATTCAAAGTGTCTATATAGAGGAAGAAGATCTTAATGTATGTCAAGATCAAGTTACAAAAATTCTAATATCTTTTCAATTTATGAGATATGAATAAATATATTTAATCAAACTATAATGGACATCTTAGCTTCTTTTAGCAGGTTATAAATTTAACCGATTCCGTCTTTATATATATTATATCCTCTGCGTTTTGACCGGAGGAACTTTTTATCTTGTTTGTCGATGGATACCGAAATTATGGGTTTCGTTGGTAGGCAACGTCTGTGAGCTAGGAAAAGCAGATTGGGTGGTTGTGAAGGTTGGTTCAAGTTATCACCTTCAATATTATTTTGTGATAATAATGCCAGACTATCATCCTTCTACAGAATCAATGGGGAGATATATCAATCGAATATGTAACTCGTAAATATTACGGTGGAACCATATCTTCAGTCTTCTCAGTTGATAATTCTGAAGACAATAACGTTTCTAGGCTTACCTCTTATCGATCCGATGACATTTTACATAACTTGCACTTTTTTGATCATCGTTATATTCGATTCATTTACAGCCCTATATTAGGGAAATTCATACAGAATAAGTAAGCACATAACATGTTTTTTCTATTTTCTTTCTTATCTTTTAAATTATGTTTCATTCTCTTTAAATTACAGCTTTTGGAAAGACCCTGCATGGGTATCTGTTGACGTGTTGAAAAATGGAATTGATCGTGAGATTCATAACGAACGTGAAATTATCTTTGGTCAAAATTTGATTGATATTAAAGAAAAGTCTACCAGTCAACTTTTAATTGAAGAGGTTTGTTTGGCAATATATCATTATTATTTGAAATTAGATATACTGTCTCAACATATTTACATAAATCTTTAATATATTTCAAGGTCCTGCATCCGTTTTATATCTTTCAAATCTTTTCAATAGTGCTTTGGTGTCTTGACGAATATTACTACTATGCTGCATGTATCTTTATAATATCTGTAACTAGTATTATCACTACGCTGATAGAAATAAAGCAGGTTAATAATTTATTACATATTTTATATTTGAATTATTATGATCTGTATGTTAATGACCAAATAATCATAATTCAGACTATGAAAAAACTTCGTGAAATGTCAAAATTTGTTTGTAATGTACGAACACTTCGTGGTAATCTCTGTAAGTCTGTGTAGTGTTTTTGTGGAGTTTTTAATGTAGTGTTGGCTGATGGCATTAGATGTCCTATATGATCTTTATCAATAGGTCGTTTAGTCATAAAGAGTATTTAATTACTTTATGACTTTTAATATAGTAAAAAATTTATCATAAAAAATTTGTTTATTGGTATTTAAGATGAACAATATGATATATGATCAAAGGTCTTTTTTTTTTTTTTAAAAAAAAAAAAAAAAGTTATGACTAAGGTCACTGGTTAACGCCACTTTAAAAGTATGCGAATTCTTATAAATTTTTTGGACTTTTTTTTTTTTTTACAACAGGGAGAACTGTCTCATCAGAAGATTTAGTGCCTGGAGACGTATTTGAAATATCTGATAGGAATTTACACATTTTTCCATGTGATGCTGTTTTATTGTCAGGCGATTGTATTGTGAATGAAAGCATGCTCACTGGTAGGAAATAGTTGTTTTATTAAATTATTAGAGTCGGATTATATAAATTCTAAATAACAGACTCTTTATTTAGGAGAATCTATCCCTGTGTCCAAATTGCCTATTGATGATACGTCTTTGAATATATTGGACTTAACCTCCACCAATGTTCGACCGGAAGTGGCCAAACATTTTTTGTTTTCCGGAACGAAAATTGTACGAGTGCGTCGGGCCAAGAATAGTATTACGTCATCTAGTGCAGATACCGGCAACATATCTGATGATGACGGAGCTTTAGCAATGGTCGTACGTACAGGCAAGCTATCTTTACAATAAAGAAATGGATCGGTCTCAAAAATAGACTTTTATTTATTTATTTATTAAATTATCTATTATTTATTTTTAACTTTTGTTTAACTTTGTTATAGGATTTAACACAACTAAAGGTTCTTTGATTAGATCAATGCTGTTTCCGAAACCACATAAATTCAAGTTTTATCGCGATTCATTTCGTTTCATTGGTGTTTTGGCTATAATTGGTAATATACAAATTATCTTTTATACAGTACATCATATGTTTAGTATCATTTTGTTCTAAACAAAATGCCATTATTAACTTTTTTTTTTGTTTAGCTGCAATTGGCTTTTTGATTAGTACTTATAATTTCGTTAGATTGGGTGTAAATACTGTTTTAATAATTTTGCGTGCGTTGGATTTAATTACTATTGTGGTTCCTCCTGCATTACCTGCAACAATGACCATTGGTACAAATTTCGCTATTGGAAGATTAAAAAAAGAGGGAATATTTTGTATTAGTCCACCAAGGTGATTAATTTTTTCTGTAATGCATTTATACAACATGTTATAATAATTTATAAGTTCGTATATATTCACAATATTATTATAGAGTTAATGTTGGAGGAAAGTTAAATGTCATGTGTTTTGATAAAACGGGCACGCTTACAGAAGACGGATTAGACGTTTTAGGTGTTCGTTTTATCAATCAAATTTCACACAGGTTAGAATCACTTAACTATCTTATTTCTTCTTAAAATGATAGTTAAAAATTTTTTAAATAGGTTCACGGAGCTTCATACTACGGTCGACACAATCTTTAAAAATGATAGTTACAAGACTAATAATTCTATTCCTCCAATATTGTGTGCCATGACTACATGCCATTCTCTTAAATTAGTCAATGGTGAACTAATTGGTGATCCACTTGATTTAAAAATGTTTGATTTTACCAAATGGATACTTGAAGAAAGTGGACAAGGAGTTTCATCTAGTACATTAGGATTGTCAGCTGGATCAGCACCCTCTGGGAGACCGAGTAGCCCAACGACTGGAAATGGTGGCATAGTGCCAACAGTGGTTAGACCACCTAATAGTAAACAATTTGATTTGACAGAAGTACTTAATGTAGAAGGAAAAAACAGTGATGGAAAAGTAAATATTTGTTTGTAACCAATCTATTATATTTGATTGATAGTAATATTAATTATTAATCAATTAATTTTTGTTTATAGCCTACACCATACATAGAGTTAGGAATAATTCGATCCTTCGAGTTTGTTTCATCATTACGACGTATGAGCGTACTCGTAAAACGCCTACGAAATCAAACAATTGAAGTTTATGTTAAAGGAGCACCAGAAGTGATGCGCGATATTTGTAAAACCGATTCCTGTGAGTTACCTACTTGTGATGTATATTAATGCAGAGAAAGCTTTGATTTAATAAATTAATTATTATTACTGTCATCCAGTTCCGGAGGATTATGATGAATTATTACATTATTATACACATAATGGCTTTCGCGTAATTGCATGCGCTTCTAAAAGTTTCACTGATCTCAGTTGGATGAAGGCTCAGAAGATCAAAAGGTTAGATTTATTTATCAATCTTTAATTTGTGAATGCCAGTAATTTATACCCTCTTTTTTGTTTGGTGTTATATATATGTCTATTATAAAGAGAACAGGTAGAACAAGATTTAGAGTTTATAGGCATTATAGTCTTCGAGAATAAATTGAAGCCTGGTACAGCCTCAGTTGTTGAAACTCTCAAAAGGGCCAAAATACGACAGATAATGTGTACTGGTAAATATATTGCTTTCATTATCCATCATTTATCATTTGATAAATTTTGGCCACTAGCCTGATAGAAAATATTTTATTCATAAATCATTCAGGTGATAATGTTTTGACTGCAATAAGTGTTTCTCGTGAATGTGGATTGGTCAATAAGGCGTCAAAAGTTTATGTACCAAGATTCGTTCAAGGGTCATCTTTAAGTTCACGAGCATCCATTTTATGGGAGAGTTTGGATAACCCCAAAGATTCACTGGATTCAACAACATTAAAAGTATTTATTTTTACTGGATAAAATTAGATTTATAAAGTTTACAGTAATTGAATTATGGTTTATTATTATTATAATAGCAAATTATTTCTGTATCGCAGGATTTTCCTAACGATTATCCGTTTATTAGTCCTTATGAATACGACCTTGCAGTGACTGGAGATGTTTTTCGTTGGATTATAGATTATGGAGATGAAATGACATTTACTCGGGTATCTATTCTATATAGTTATGATATCCAGTCAGCATAAATAAAATATTATTTTTGATCATATTTCAAAATATTCTATAGATGCTTGTCAAAGGTCAAATTTTTGCACGTATGTCACCAGACGAGAAACACGAATTAGTAGAAAAATTACAGGAAATAGATTATTGTGTTGGCTTCTGTGGTGATGGTGCTAACGATTGTGGAGCACTTAGAGCGGCTGATGTTGGGATGTCACTTTCTGATGCTGAAGCTTCTGTTGCAGCTCCATTTACGAGTCGTAAGATGGATATCGGCTGTGTTATCGAAGTTATTAAGTATGATGATTTATTAGAATTCTTTGTTGTGTGATTCTTTTTCTAAAAGACTTTTTTTTTAATTAAATACTTCATTAGAGAAGGTCGAGCAGCCCTAGTCACGAGTTTCAGTTGCTTTAAATATATGGCACTGTATAGCATGATTCAATTCACAACAGTTAGCATATTATATTATTATGGGTCTAATTTGGGGAACCTTCAGGTAAGAACTGATTTATAAGATTATATATTATATAAGGATTAATCCTTGCTTACACTATTCTACTATTAGTTTCTTTATATAGATTTATTCTTAATATTGCCCATCGCAGTTTTAAGTAAGATTCATTTACACTTTTTTTTTTTTTTTTATCAATAAAAATTTTTTTTACTGATCTAATCATTGTTATCTAGTGGGGCGTACGGAACCATTCCCACGCATACATCCCAAACGTCCAACCGCAAGTTTGGTCTCCAAAAAGGTATTAACGTCGGCGATTGGACAAATTTTAATCCAGTCAGGAATTCAATTCTTAGTTCTTGTAATTATACACAATCAGTCATGGTAAATCATATGTTGTATATATCAAGTATCGTTTCTTTTCTTGAGATAGTTTATTATACATTTTAAACTTACTACAGGTATCGAAAACCAACCTTTAATCCGGATGAGACAGATATAAAAAATTTTGACAATTCGATATTATTTTTATTATCATGTTTTCAATACATTATCATCGCAGCGGTGTTTAGTGTTGGACCTCCATATAGAAAACCGATGATTACGAATGGTATAGTAAATTACATACATGAATATTGATGCATTTTTTTTCGAAAATTTTAAGAAGCCTTATCTAATTATTTTATTCAATAGTTCCATTTATAATCACGACGACTTTGTTTACTTTTATTACGGCAGCAATCCTTTTATCACCTTCAAGTCTTATTATAAGCTTATTAGAACTAGAGAACATTGACTATCTTTTTAGATGGTATCTACTAGCTATTGTAGTAGCTGACTTTCTTATCTCGTTAGTCATGGAGAAATACGTCTTTGAAGTTATTTCACAATGGATAGGTATTGCAATAGTTAAATCGGACAAAAAAATGTTTAAAAAAATATTAAATGAAATGGACACTAGAGACGCTGTAAATTATGTTTAAAATTTCTACAAATATAAATGAAAATGATCAAATTGATTTTAATAATTAACTTTGTATATAGTGATTAAAAAGGAAGTAGAATGTTAAATGATTCGTTAACTGATGAACATAGTTGTTATAATGTGAATAATTTATATAGGTACTGTCAACTATCGATATAACGGAAATCCGGGCTGGCCAAAAAAATCCGATATATAGCATGTTCGTTATACCTATATAACGGCCTATACACTGGCGATCATAAATAATGCAACAAAAAAAAATTTAGTTGGATTGTATTATCTCACGCAATTCTGGGCGTATTTGTTAAATTTTTTTATTTTATTCACAAATAGCAATATTATCATTAATAAAAAAGATTTAAAAATTTAGTGATCAAAATTTTTTGGGGTATGAGCTTTACTTCAATATACATGTTGCATTATTTTTGCTTGTTTTAATAGCAACATGATTGTAAAATAAAAAAATTTTTTTTTATATAAAAAAAAAAAATTTTTTTTTTCTAATAATTTTCAGTTATCATTATCTGATGTAGCCGTCCTGGGTTCTAATTACATCATAGATTCATTCTGGCATTGAACAAATTAATCTCATGTAGGTTTCAATATTGATTGTTTGTCAAATCATTTGAATTTTTTTTTAAAGATTCTTTTTATTTGAAATGTGATCAGAAAGGTCTCTAAGGTGATCAACTTCATTCTACAAGTGTTTGATTGGGTTTAGATCAGTCAATTGAAAAGATCAGTCAAAAAATTTTACCTTCTTCCTTTTAAATCAATATTTGGTTAAGGTTAACATATAATAAAATGTTTTATCTTATTAAAAAACAACTTCACTGATTTCAAATCTATGATCTTTAAGATATAGATTTATATTTATCATACTATTGATTTTACCATAGTTGTTAACATCATGAGAAGTAAAACAACTCTAAATCATAATTGATCTGTCATTATATTTCATAATAGATTTAATATGAAACTGATTTAACAGTTCTCTATGATGTTTTCAATAATACTACTTATTATCTAACTTAAAAATTTAGAACCTTGATTTATTTGGCCAAATTATCTTGAACCAATTTTTAACAATCTATTTTTTATATTTTTTTGCAAAAATGAATTGTGTTTTTCGATAACTATCACTTAGATAAGATTTTTTTTTTATTTCCAATATTAAATCTGGATTTGAAGTATTCAGTTAATAGTAAGCATTAAATTTTCAATATCTTTATTTATTTTGAGATGGGTTTTCATTTTAACAATAATATAACAATGATAAAAGTTAATTAAATTTTTTTTTTTTTGAATTGATTTATTTAATAAAGTTGAACAATCAATTTTTCTTAAATCTTCAAGTATATAGTTTGTTAACTATTTTTTTCTAATTTATAAAACTATGGAAAAGTTAATAAGTTTGACTTACTACTCTTGTAGTGTATTTTTTTTGAAAAAAAACCAATATTTGAATTTATTAAATAAAGGTTGTACAGTTTTTTTTTTTTATTTATAAGCAATTCTAATATTATACAAAATACAAAATCAACAATAAATATTATATTTTTATATGTATTTATATAGCATAATTTATGTAATTTGATCTTTGTCAAAAATGATTAAAAATAATACAACACATAATTTGTAATAAATTTATAATTATCTTAGTATTGGTAATAATAATAACTATTAAAATTTTGTTATTTAAAAAAGATAGTATTTGTGAATAAAATAAAAAAAATCTTAACAAAATATGTCTAAAATTGCATAAGAATATATAATTAACTAAATTTTTTTTTTGTATTATTTATGATTATTAGTATATAACTGAATTAAGTTAGAATCTATTATAAAGATATTATATAATATATTAATAAATTAAATATGTATAATCATTTATTTTAGAATTCTAAGTATACTCTTTATAGATGCACACCTTTAGATTTAAGCCTAGTTTGGTTTATTTAAAACTTAGTACTAAATATATTCTAATACTTTCAGCATATATATAAGTTCTGAGACCAAACATATACATATATAAGGGAGTGCCAGTAGAAACCAAACAATTTGTTTCTAAATAAATTTTTTTAAAACTTTAAAGCAAAATATTTCAACAATTATTAAACCAAACTTGATAATTTTTATTTATTTTAATTCTATATAGTTATAGAATCAAAATAAAAAAAAATTTATTAAGTTTGGTTTAATAGTTTTTGAAATATTTTAATTTGAAATTTTAAAAAAACATACTAAAAATGAATTACTTGGTTTCTATTAGCCCCCTACATATCCTTTTTAAATATACATAAAATTTTATACTTGCATCATATGCATATTTTTTGTTCTAAAAAAAAAGTACATACTAATTATATATATTTTTTATTTCAGTTTGTTAATTGAATTTTTGTCAAGAAATTCTTTAATTCTTAAGAATTGTATTCAATTTGTATTAATGAATAGCATTCATTTGGTTATACAGAAGTGGAGTATTATATTAATTACTCTTATCTTTAATTTCATATACAGTATATTCTTCAAATATAAGTTACTAAATGTTTTTAATAACAATATAACAATTATTTTTTTTTAAAGATTTTTAATTTGTAAATTCTTGTCAAGTATGTCAAGATAAAGTTAAAGAAACACAATTATACTTGGCATCATGCAAAAGACAAGCAAATCTCTGAAAATGAATCCAAAAAGTGATCATCACAACAGCCTAGAAAGGGTTGAAAGAAGAGAAAAAAATCTGCATCCCACTATATGTACTATATATAGCACTCTTTAAAAAAAATGAAGCAGTGGAAATAGAGATAAAAGAAGCTTTAATCAAAGGCCTAATTTCAGAAAAAATGCAAAAAAGATTAACACAGCTTCTAAATATCAAAGCAAGACAACAGTTTATAAAGAGAGTGGCAAAGACAGCATGGAACACATTCTATGAACAGGTTTGGAGAATATGGTGCGAAAAGATTAATGAATGGGTGAAGAAAAAAGGCATAATGACCAAAATGAAAAAAAAGAAAATTAAAAAAAAGGATCCAAAAAAGAAAAGAAAGACAAGTCAGCAGAAAATCGAAGAAGAAAAAAAACTAGCAAAAGAGAAAAAGGACAGGATCAATGAAGAAACTAGGAAAACAATATTGGAACTTATCATAGAAGAGAGAAGACCTTTTTATTATAGACTTTAAGTAGTCAGACAAGTGGTCTACTTCTGCTTGAAGTAGTGCAGCAGGTTGCACTTAGGTACCTCTTGGGTGGCTGGGTGATGCTAAACTTAGTTGTTAGATAAATCTATATAATTGCAAAAGTAATTTCAAGAATCTTAATAAAGTACTAGCATGACTGCTTAAGTTCAAAAAAAAAAAAAAGTTGTAAATTCTTAATAAACTACATATTAATTTGAATCTTTTTTTTTTTTTTAAATATTAAGGTGAGTACTTGTGATCCAGGATTTTATTAATAGTATATTTAGCTAATAGATGCTTTACAATCACAGAAGGCAATCATAGAAATAGTGTACAACTAGTCTCTTGTACAACTTTAGTTATTGTTTAATTTAAGTAGTCTGCTTGAAGGTTTTATACTAGCTGCCATACCTGGACTCTGCTTATAGATTTCCTATTTAATCACTTTGTTTTTGTATTTATTCACCTATCTCTGTCTATCAATAACCCTGGTCAATGCTGATAAAAAGATGCCATGGCCACTAAGTCTTTAAAGCAGTTTATTCGTATGAGAAACCTTTGACTTTGTACTAAACTTTTCAGAATCTTTTGTATTTCATTCTTATAACTGACTTGGTATTGTTATGGCCAAGACCAACACTAGTAGTCAGGATGTACCATTAAACTGCTATGTCCTTGTAGAGTTCACTTCAATCTCAGTACTAACTTCACAACATATCTTTACTACTTTGGTATTCAATTCAAGTTCCACCAAGCTGCCAAATCAAATAGTCCAGAAAGGCAGATCAAAACCATATATCTCTGGTTTACATGTTTGCCAACATGTAACCTTTTTCTCTAAAATCTGGCAATTTTAGTAGCCTGGTTGGTTTATTTGGTTCCTCCTCAAAAATTAGCATATTTGTTCAGTTTTATAAGTTCTAGCTCTATTTCATAGATCTAGTTTTTATAGTAGCACCATCGAAAGTTTGGGTTACCTCTCTATTTAGGTCTTCCAAGTAGGCTTTTATCTTTTTTCTTTTAGTTTCTATGATTTACATAGCCATAAGAACTTATTGTAGGTTTGCATCATCTGGTACTAGTTTGCATTTCTTCATGTAACTACAAACCTTGTCCTAAAGGACAATATCATGTGACTGTTACACAAATACCATGTGATCTGCCAGTCATGCTGGTGTGACATAGGTAACATGTGTCTTATCCTAACCAATTGTAAGAAACAGTTAAGGGGGCTTCCAGAAATCAGCTGATTTCTAAGTAGGTGTGTGGGTTGACCGAAATATCAGGTGTAATTCAGGCCAAAATTATAAGGCCGTGGCCAGAATTATCATTATATATTTAAGTTATGTAGATCTTATATAGTTGAACTTTTTGTCAATAAATTGTTCATATATATAAATAATACTATGTGCATAAATAATACTACATATTAATTTAACTCTGGCACTGGTAATCAAATGTAGGATTTATGCAGCAGAGTATTGTTTAGATTTAAATCTGAAGCTAGTGACGAATTTCAAACTATGCCAGAGTTCATAGAAAGACATTCGTTGTCAATCAAAATATGACTATCAATCAATCAACCTTAAAATTTGCAAGTAAACTTTTATTATTAGTGAAGCTTTATATATAATTTTATATTTAAAACATAATTCTATTTTATTTTTAGTTATCACAAACTCTACTAGATATGTGCTATAACCCTTAGTTTATATAATTAATAAGCACAATGCAACTTGTATATACTGTATTAATCTGCTACTAAAGAGGCTGATTGAGACATTTACATATAAGTTTTACTCTTAAACAATATAATATAAAAATCTTGTCTGTGTATTACTTTAATAATAATATCTTATATATTATAAAATTAAATCATTAGGTAAACAGCTATAATTGTGGTTTGGGTTACTTTAGTTGACTATTTTTGGCATTTAAACCTTATATATAGTTAGTATAGTAATAAATGATGGAATGCTTGCTTCTAAATGAATAGTACCTCAGAGGTAATGTGTGAGAAGTGAAGTACTATGCAAAATATCTCTTATGAAACCTAATAATATGATACAGTATACTTTCAAAAAATACTAACATTCATATCCTGACACTATAGAATGGGATACTTTACCAGAATACAGTAGGCAGCACAATATGATACTGTACTATTCAAGTAAATTTTGTAAGCAGTTTAATTTTTTTTTTTTTTAACTCAATCTACTTAGTATATCTATTTTCTGCTCAAAGGCAGTTTTGATATTGTCACGGGTTAATTAGTAACTTGGGTTACTAAACAACCTAGCTCTCTCAGCAAGTATCACATTAAAACTTCTCTTATGACTCTTTTGGAGTAGTCCCAAGGTATATACTTTACTTATTTTATTACTAACAGTGTATATTTGAAAATAAATCACTGACTAATTCTTTATTTTTTGCTTTGCTTATAAATACCCTTTTGACTAACATTTATTACATCATAATTGGGTCATGCCATTTTAACTTTTAAATTAACTATTTACAAATTTTATGCAAATTAACTACTATTGTACTTCAACACAATACTAATCCTTATTTAATTAATTAATTATGCTATTTTTTCATTATGTATGCAATCTTCGATTCTGATCGTGATCGTCATGTGGTCATGTGAACACAACACTCAACAAACATTCGATACTTTTTTTTTCTAAGCTAAATATATCTATAAGTTTTTTTTTTTTTTTTTTTTACTAACCTAATTAATTACCTACTCTCTTAGCATTCTAGATCTATTCTCCTTACAAGATACACTGCATACTGTTCTTCACCATGACAATATCCTTTTATAATTCATAAGTTTAATGATTAAATACAAACATCAAATTTTTATATATTATTCTGACAATACAGAATTTACATGATCATCGTGTTATATTATTCACTATCAGAAAAATATGGAATAAAAATATCTAACATTTCTACTTTATTTGAAAAAGAGCTAGGAATACAATCATCTGTTGCTGCACGAGCCATAGATTTTTTGTATTTGTGAATAAGAGGAAAGTGTTTAAACTTTTTATGCTGAGAAAGAAAGGCCATGGTGGGAAAATACTGATAACAGGTAAGGCAGACTAATCTTGAATAGAGTTTAGAAAAAATCGAGAGACAATGTTAATCGAAGCCTGGAATTTTTAATTTGTCCACATACTGAAGTATGTGGATGAAATTAAGAAAATGACCATCTTGGTCTTTGATAGATAGTGGCAAAAATTCATTGTTCTCAGTTAACAAAGCAGCTGCTTCTTCAATTCTTCATGTAGAACAACAATTGACATCATTGCATTTTTGAATGTCCAAAGAGTACCAACATATTTGGCAATGGTTTTCTATCCAGCCCCAAGGTATATCTGAAACTTTATTAAAATTGTCAATTTGCTCATCAACATATTCAACAATTACTTCTTTACCATGAATATAGTCTTGTCACTAAATATCATATAGCTTTTCACTGGCATAACAAAAATTTTGCTTTGCAAGTTCTATATTCTTAATAATGCCATTAAAATCAAGATGTGAGCCAAAATAATCAATAGGTAGGACAATACCTGCCAACTTTCCTAAGAGAGTAGACATGCTACACTCTACAGGATTGTAGACAGATTGTCCAGGGGCATAAGTTCTGACAGTTAAGTAATCCAAATTTAATTTTATAAATAATTTACTATATTCTTTTATATTTTTAAAGTGCCTGGGGTTCTCGTCAGGACCATCATCAACAAGCAAAACCAGAATTGGTTTGAATTTATTTTTCAATTTTAGCATATTATTTAAAACAGAATTTTCTATTATAGCCATTATGTCGACCATATGAGTTAAAGAGAAAGTCTTGATTAATCATTATGGGTGGATAAAAATTGTTAATTGACTATTACATAATGAGTCATTTAAACCTTCTGGATCAATCGTAAGATAAACTGAAGGTATTAGTTTTTGTTTACTTCCTCGAGAAAAGTCATAATCTTTTAATTAATAATAATAATAATTAAAACCAAGCTTAAATAATTTATATACAGTAAACCTTCTATAAGTGCAGGCACTTGGGACAAATTTTTAACAATGTGCACTTAGAGAACAATAAGAAAAGTGCATTTACAGAGGTCATATATATATATATTTAGACCCAAATTTAAATGTACATTTAGAGAAGGTATGCATTTATGGAGATTTTAACATATTTGCTTATATATAATTACCAGGTATTGCAACTAGTTCATGAGAAGATTGCACGATTATAAATATCCTCCCAACTGCTGGTATTCCAAGTGGAACTTTTGTCTTATCATCTTGTGATATAATCACAAAATAAAAGGCAAAAGCACTGGCAAATTGTTTTGCATTTTGACTATTTGCAAACAATAATGCTCATCTATATGTTCAGGCATTTCATTTCTAGATACAGAGTTTACCTGAATAGCCATAGGATGGTGGTGTCTTTTGGCATTCAAAGAATTAATTCTTCTGGGCCAAATGTATGTATATAAACAGATGCATGATATGTAAATTTGATATTTTTCTTCCATTTCTTTTTTTAAATAAGAAATGGTGCATACTTTAATAATTTCTTTCTGCCTTTTTTTGGTGGCAGTACCGAACTCAATACATAAATGCATCTGCTTACGAAGATCAGGATTTAGAAGAAGAAAAGAAGAACACCCAGATGAATTGTATCTAATAACTTCCCTTCTGGTTTTTAAAGCTTCATGTTTTTTTGCTTGACTTTTGGCTTGTACAGTGGCATGTTTCTTTAAATTTTGCCTCTTTTTTTTTAGCTTCAATTTTTTGTTTAGTTTCATTGATTTGAACTAAAAAATCGTGACATCATTTAGGATCATGTGCAACATTATACAACTTATTTAATTTATTAAGCTGTTTTTCAGCACAATTTTGTTAGCTAAAGAATTTTTTTGAGCAGTCGCATTATAGTGCAGTTTTTCAGATTCTATTGTATAAGATAAGAATATGGATAGTATAGATATAGGAGAACTAATTTCATTTGATATAACTGGAGTAGGCATGAAAGAAGTATATTGAATAGGTTTTAAAAGTGTTTGTAAATAATTATTTATTTTATTTTGTATAGTTTCTTCATTCAAATTTCATATAGTCCTCCACTCTTTTTGAGCTTTTATAAAAATATTTTGTTTTTTAAGAGATGGAGTTTCTATAAAAATGGCCAAATAATATGCATATGCTTTGCAAAAGTTTTCATATAGGTTTGAGAGATTTTTGAATATTAATTTTTTATTAAATTTTGGAGTATCTAAAAACATTTGCATTTTTTTTTTTTAATTTTTTTTAATGCACTTCAGAGGTATATATAATTACTCAAATTGCTTATAATTATTAAATATCAGAATGACAAGAATATTTGTACAACAAATCCTCTAGGCATAGGCATATCTGCATGATGCAAATTTCTTTATACATAAAAAATTAAATATCACAATTAATGCACATCACATTTGTATATAACAAGTATTCAGAAGGAGATTTACACTATTTAGCATAAAGAGTACTTTAATTCACAAAATATGAGTATATGTTTTTATATATGTATATGTGTGCCTACTTATTGTTATCGCCATATTGAGTTTTTCATTAATTTGATATTTTATAACTGATTATATTTTTGACTGATTATACCTTTTATTAATGCAGTTGAACTTTTTTTGATACATAGAAACAAACTTATCTTATGAATACACATTTTTGTAAGAACCTTGTATAATTTTGTTGCAAAAAAGGCTGATAATACAGATAAGTTTTTAGGACCATCATATTATTTCTATGGATATCTAAGATATGCTGATTAATATGGTTTAATTGACTAGATCTGTATAGTAAAAGCTGATTCAAAAAAAATTATACTATACTGATCCCATGTTATAATATTAGGATTATGAATTTTATTTTAGCTAATCAGTATAGTATAGTTTTAAAATCGATATGTACTATACAGAATATTATTACTGATCATAGGATATACAATCTTTTTACAGCAAACCTTAAGAACCAATCAACTATATGTACGAAATAAACATGACACAGAATGAAACAAGCATGGCATATATGATAGTGCAGGGAATTGTGAAAACAATTCTCCTACAACACTAGACAATACCCCTTATGATTTGGGCTCTAGCTAGTGATATACAAATTTGGGTTACAATGCAGTTACGACATAATTGCTAAATCTAGTAAAAACCTTTGGAATCCCAAACTGTCAGGTTTAGTTTACATCACTAGTTGAAATGCTGATTATAATAATTTAGGATCTGTAAATTATATCAAGAATAATCAGAAAACAGAATACACAACTTTTTAGTGATATGTTATTTTATTAAATTGTTTTTTTTTTTTTTTTGAGTTAAGATGAGGTCATGCCTCAGGTCTGTTTATTTGAACATATTGTTACAGTTTGTACAACTTTTTACATTATACATTATCTAT